AAAAAACAACTTAAATATCATGGTATTCTATATTTAGACCAACTTACCACATTTGATAATTCATGTTTACTGAACTAGAAACACATCTCTCCTCATATTTATAAAATTTCAAAAGGCAAACAATCTCTCTGGTTTACTTATTTAGAAGACCAAGTTACAAGTCACTTTTATAATCATACACTATATTCACACTTATACCTACCTGACACTAACTACTATAGCTACACAACTGGACACTACTCAACATGTAAAAAACTCTGGCTTATTACAGTACTTGATAACCAAATCATTACTGATAAAGCCAGAAGACAACCTTTTCAATCTGGCACTGTGCTATTATTTACTGGCAATGTCAAATTGAATCACAATTTACCTGCTTATATTCACTTGCATCTATTTAATCAAAGGCATGTCCTGGTTGTTCACTTAACTCACATACAATCAATAACAAATGTACAATTGTTATTTCTACTAATCTTTTAACTCAATTTTTTAATAGAGTTAATACAAATGACAAAACTCTTAACTTTAATGCCAATCATTTGAACCTCTTATACTCAGTTGCAATCAGACACCCTATCCAAACCCCAAGCCCACCCAATATTATTATTTTAACAAACTCAATTCCAACTATCTTTGAACTCTGTACACTAACTCATAAACTTTAACAAATTGCCAATTACAGCACTAACCAACAAGAACTCCATTTCTATACTTATGGCTTTGTTATGAATTTAGATACTTCTTAATGCTCCATGGGCATTGGATGGGTTCAAGTTAACAATAATTCTATGCTGTATACATTTCAGGCACAAGTTAAACTTTGGCTATGCTTATTCAAATCAGAACTTACTGCTATCTTATCAGCTTTTATTACTATTCCTAGAAACTGTATTGTAAATATATATACAGATTTTCAATTGTAATTTCAAAATACTAAAACCTTTTAAATTCCTCTACTACTCTATCATATATACATACATCATTCTTTTTACTTTGGAACACACTTGTCAGCTTTATCAACTCATACAAAATTTAAATTATCTTTTACAAAGTCACTGCTTATTAAGATAATACATATAATAATTTAGCTGATTAACTTGTATATAACCATTATAACTTGCCATATCTTACTTTCATGCCATATAATATTTATAACTCAGCTTATACTCTTATTCTTAAGAACTTTTCTCTTAAGCTACCAACTCATCACAGTATTTGTACAATTTGTTATGCACATATTTATGCACTATAGATTACTCAAAACCACTTCCTTAAATGGAAAAAAATTCTTACCCAAATCAACTGGCAAGCCACTTGGCTGTTATTAACAACAATTAAAAAATTTCAAACTTCTCATATAGCTTTCAATCATCTACTCTTAAGTTCTTTATAATTAAAATTTTACTAGATAAACTTCTTGTCCCATATACTTTACACAAATGTTATCACTCATATTCACCTACCTGTTACCAATATCAACACATCAGCTCTCACCTTTATTGAACAACTTGCCCATCTGATCAACTATTAAATAATCTTATAAATGAATCATTACAACATATTCTTAATACTACTACTCTTAACACTACTTTAGAAATTATAACTAATCTATACTATTAAATCAAACAACTAAACTGCATGTTCAGTTACAGTATACCAGACCTATCTTCAATTTCTTCAACTTTATTAGACTTAGTACTAAATAAAATTATTACTATAGTTGCAAACCTATTATCTACAAAAATATTTATAACACTTATTACTAAATTCTTACTTCATCTTAATCAACAAATTTATTACAAAATTTGGATTTCTTACTGTATTTTAAGATCTACAATTCATCTTTCTACTTCTAATTTATTTTTTAATTCTACTTTGCAATTAGTGCAAACTCCCTCTCTTAATACTATTAGCTCTAAGATTAATTCTTGGTATATACAATAGATTAAATATTAAACTAATCTCTTATACATTATTACTAACACCCAAATCTAGGTAAGCCTTGGTACTTCAGTTGGTTTAGGTTGCAGATAAATTAGTTTAAGCTTCTATTCTTGCTATAATATTTTAAAAATAGATTTAAACTTTATATAAAAATCCCAGTTAAATATTCAATAAAGATTGAGACATGGCCTCACCATTAATATTAAAAAAAAAAAATTAATTTAAATAAAAAATTTTAATCAAATATAATTTATATAAATTTAAAATTACTTATAATTTTCTTGCTCTTTTTGTAACCATTTAATATGTTTATGCTATTTTAAAACTTTAGTTTCTTTTTCTTTAATTGACCAATAATTTGTATTAAATCTCATATTTTTATATTTTAAACATAAATCACTATGTGGAGTTAATTTTTTAATACATGATAAAAATTTTTTCCAAATTCTAATAAATATTATTAAACTAATTTCAAATTGGTCATTAGTATTAATTACTTCTAAATATTGTGTGTGTAAAAATAAATAAGTAGTATCTGCTAGTAAATATATAATAACAATAGTATTATTACAAAAACTTCATTCTATAAAATTTAAATTTATTATAAATAAAATAATCAATTTTAAATTAATTATAATATTAATAAAATAAAATAATTATAATAAACAAAATAATTATAAATAAAATAATTTAAAAATTATCTGGAGATAATAAACTATTTTGTTTGTCAAAATTTTCTATAAAAGTAATTACTTTTATTACAGTTTCAAAAGATATTGTTAAATTTCCAACTTTTCCAATTTTTGAATTAATATGTAAATTTATATCATGTTCTACAAAATGATTTCTTAAATTTTTCCATCTTGTATCTCCAAGACTATAAATTGTTTTAAAAACATTTTTACAAATTGATTTTTCTTTAAAGCTATATTCTGTAATAAGCTTAGATTTCTTTAAATTTTTAATTATTTTTGATCATTTGGTAGCAGAAATTATATCTAATAAATACATATCTTGTAAAGATTTAGTAAGATTTTTAAAATTTAAATATCTTTTTAAAGCTACAGAATATTCAATTTGAGTTTGTAACCAATTTTTTTCACAACAAACTTTTTCAAAAAATTTTTTAAAATTATTATTTTGTAATAAATTTATTTTATTTTCTAAATTTTAATTATTATTATCTTGTTTTTTAATAATATCTTTTTCTTTATAATATAATTTTTTAAATTTTAAAAGCTCTTCTTCAGTCCAAACCTTATTTTCTAAAAGATTATTTTCTGTAATTTCTAAAATTTCAGATGATTCTAATAAAAATAAATTATTATCTTCTTGAACTAAAATTAAAATTATAAATTTGAAAGGTCTGCTTGTAATTGAGTATTTTCTATAAGTTTTTTCAAAAATATTTTTATTTAAAGAAAAAATAAACATTTTTACAAAATAAAAATTTAAAATTTAAATATTTTAATCAATATAACTAATGATTTTAATTATATACATATTAATCACAATACAATATGCAATATTCAAAATTTAATTATTATTCTATTATTGTATTATATAAAATTCAAAACATACATAAATACATATTATTTTAATATTAGTTACAACAATATTAATGTAATTTATGCAGAAAAAAATTAATCTAATTAAAATTTTATATTGTAAAAAAAACTTATGCACATTTGTATCTATAATACAATAATAACTATCTTAATAAGCATGTTTATTGACAAAACTTTGTATATATCTGCAAGTACATATAAGAAATGCCAAAGGATCAGAGAAAAATCCACAAAATAATTTTCCAAAAAAAGTATTGAAATACCAGAGAGAAATCTATATAAAATTTACTAAAAAAACACAAAAAACCAGAGGAATATCTACAAAGAATTTGCCAGAAAAATGCTAATAGACAAAAAGAAAATCTACAAGAGAATTCTTCAAAAAAAAATGCCAAAATACCAGAGAAAAATCCACATGAAATTTACCAGAAAAACCCAACAAACTGGAAAGATATTTTTAAGGAATTTACTAGAAAAATACTGAAGGACCAGAAAGAAATTTACAAAATAATTCTCCAAAAAAAAAAATGCCAAAGGACCAGAAGGATATTTACAAAAAATTCATCAGAAAAAACTGAAGGATCAGAGTAAAATTCACAAGAGAATTCTCTAAAAAAAAACACTAAAACATTAGAAGAAAATCCAGAAGAAATTTACCAAAAAAATGCCAAAGGGCTAGAGGGATATTCACAAGGAATTTACTAAAAAAATGCTAAAGAACCAGAGAGAAATCCACAAAAGAATTTTCCAAAAAAAATGCCAAAGAACCAGAAGTAAATCCACAAGAAAATGGTTGGACTTTTTTGTGAACATTTCTTTGGTTTCACCAAGTTCACCAATGAAATGCCAAAAAAACAAGAGGAAAGTTTACAAGAAAGGTCACCAAAAAAAAACATTGAAAGGCAAGAGAAAAGTCTGCAAGTTCTTTAAAAAATATTGAAAGACAAAAGAAAAGTTCACAAACTAAATACTGAAAAGACAAGAGAAAAATCTATAAGAAAGGTCTCTAAAAAAAATGCTGAAAGGCAAAAAAAAAGTCTGCAAGTTTTTCAAAAATATTGAAAGACAGAAGAAAAGTCCACAAACTAAATACTGAAAAACAAGAAGAAAGCCTACAAGAAAGGTTTCCAAAAAAAGCCAAGAGGAAAGTCTACAAGTTCTCTGAAAATATTAAAAGACAGAAGAAAAATCTATATACTAAATGTTGAAATAACAAAAGAAAAATCTACAAGAAAGGTTTCTAAAAAAAATGCTAAAAGGCAAGAGGAAAGTTTGCAAGTTCTTCAAAAATATCAAAAGACAGAAAAAAAGTTCACAAACTAAATGCTGAAAAGACAAGAGGAAAGCCTACACGAAAGGTTTCCAAAAAAAAATATTTGAAAGGCAAGAGGAAAGTCTATAAGTTTTTCAAAAATATCAAAAAACAGAGAAAAGTCCACAAACTAAACACTAAAAAGACAAGAAAAAAGTCTATAAGAAAGGTCTTCAAAAAAAAAATGCTGAAAGGCAAGAAAAAAGTCTGCAAGTTTTCCAAAAATATCGAAAGACAGAAGAAAAGTCTACAAACTAAATGCTAAAAAGACAAGAAAAAAGTCTATAAGAAAGTTCTTCAAAAAAAAACACTGAAAAGCAAGAGAAAAGTTTAAGTTCTTCAAAAATATAGAAAGACAGAAGGAAAGTCCACAAACTAAACATAAAAAGCAAGAAAAAAGTCTGCAAGTTCTTCAAAAATATCAAAAGACAGGAGAAAAGTCTATAAACTAAATACTAAAAAGACAAGAGGAAAGCCTACAAGAAAGGTCTCCAAAAAAAATGTCGAAAATTAAGAAAAAAGTCTGCAAGTTTTTCAAAAATATTAAAAAACAAAAGGAAAGTCTGCAAAAAAGTTCAAAAATACTGAAAACAAGAAAATTCACAAGTTTAGTAAAAGTCTAAAAGATGAAAGATCAGAAGAAAGTTCACTTACTAATAAATGCCAAAAGACAAGAGGAAAGTCTGCAAGAAAGTTCTTTAACAAAAGATTCATAAACCAATTCCAAAAGATTAGTAAAAGTCTACAAGATTTATTAGAAAATGTTTTTTATATATTTATATATAATTGAATAAGGTTTAATTATAGTAACAAAAAAAACAAAAAAAAAACTGACAAGAATGATATAATGAAAATTTTATTGATCATACACTAAAATAAATTAAAGTTACAATTTATTGATCAGTATATTCTAGAATTTCTAGAATCATAAAATGCTATTTTTAGATCAAAAATCTTGTTTATTATTTTTTTTTAAATCTGATTTACTCAAAATAATTTACATGTAAAAAAGACTGTTTTAATTGATAATTCTGCATATATGTATAACATTAATAGTATCTGCTATAGATCATGTTAGGTTCATCTAATTTTGAAATATGTTTTGTATTTAGAAAATCTGCAGCAAAGTCTAGCATACTAAAACATACAAGAGTTTTGTTTATACCACAAACCTGGCATATGTTTTATGCTACAAATATATACACAATAGTTATATAATTGTATTACAAATTTAAAATATTACTTTAGTTCATTTTATCCCTATTTATTTATTTTATACATATTGCTTTTTTATTATATATATAGTAGTTTGTGCAAATATACCTTTTTATAAAATATAACTGGTCAATGCAAATCCAAGTATAGTTACAATATATTTAAGAATATATTCAAAATGTATATAATATTTTATTAATAATATTAATATTGCTAACTTTATTTAAATTTTGATCATAGATTTCAAAAACTCAAATTGCAATTCTCTAAATTATAATTACAAAAATGATTACAGTTTGAAATAAATACTTAGAATCCTTTAAATATGTGAGAATTATATTAGTGTTAAATACTTATAATAATATATAATATATATTAAAAAACATTATATACATGTGGCATATTTATGTAGAAGTATTTGACCACTTGAGTCAGATATTGAACTTTATTAAATAGATTTTATTAATAATATATAGCAGCAGTATACATCAGTGTGATCAATGCACAAGCTGAGACTGGCTATGTTTTTAAAAATAAGAATTACAATTTGTGCCAAACATAACCATTATTAGCATAATTTATAATATAATTATCAGCTAGTATTTCTCACATTACATCAAACAGACAGACTAAACATGAAGTTTAAAAAAATAACAAAATAACAGGATTTCTCTAAGCAGGTGGGTCTGGGTGCAAACTTACTTTCACAATCACAACTTGTCTAATTATGTATAAGTTTTATTATAGATATTTAATAAAGTTTTATTAGTACCTATTATTACTTTTAAACAAGGCAATTAATTTAATGATACTTATTATTATCTTGCATGAGCTGTCTTATAAAACTTAGATCAATCTTGCTTTATTTTGATGGCCACTGAACTAGTTTCTAACCAGATTCCTAAAATTAGTAGAAAATTTTTTGCTTAGCTAGCTTTTTAATCTGTTAACTTATATCAACTTGAATGAAAATTATTACATGTATGTAGCATATTTATATAAAAGCATCTGACTACTTAAGTCAGATAATGAACTTTATTAAATAGATTGTATTAATAATGTGCAGCAGCAGTGTACATCAGTGTGATTAATGCACAAGCTATGACTGACTATGCTCTTAGAAATAGTAATTATAATTTGCATCAGGTATAACCATCATTAGTATAATTTGTAATATGTATTATTAGTCAGTAGTTTCTTACACTGCATCAAGTAGGCCAACTGGACATGAAGTTTAAAAGAATAACAAAATGGCAAGATTTCTCTAAGCAGGTGTATCCAGGTGCAAACTTACTTTTACAATTACAGCTTGTCTAATTATATATAGGCCCTATTTTAAATATTTAATAGAGTTTTATTAGTAACTATTATTACTTTCAAACAAGACAATTAATTTAATAATATTTATTATTATCTATGCATGTACTGTCTAATAAAACTCAGATTAATTCTGCTTCATTTTAATGACCACTGACTAGTTTCTGATCAGATTTCTAAAATTAGTAAAACATTTCTTGCTTAGCTAGCTTTTTAATTTGTTAATTTGAAATATAGTACATGTTGTTGGATTGTAGCTTCTTACTTTGTTCTAAGTTACAAGTTTTTTTATTTTTTATTTATTTAGATAGTTTTTTATTATTTATTTATATCCATATATAGTTATTGTTTGTAATTTGTCTGCTTATGCTCTTGTTTATATTTAAGAACCATGGTAACTATATGAGCCTAATTTTTGAGATCATAGATGCCTGAATCAGGATAACAATTCTTACTTAATCCAAGGTTATATGAAAAGTAACAGAAATATAACTATGCCAGTATCACTATTGAAAAAAGCACATTCACATGATATTTTCATAATGCAAACTAATGAGATTACAAGATCAGATGTAATATTACAGATCAAAAAAAAATTAAAACAAACATTCATTTTACTAAAAATTGCACATAATTCAAAAATTTATATAGAAAATCACCTTTAGTACACTAACAAAAAAATTTTTTTGACTGATTTTACTAATATACTCTTACTATTATCTAATCATAATATAATACTAATTCTAATCTTACTGAATTAGAAATTTTTATCATTATCATATGCCTATGATTTTTTAATAATTATACTAGGAAAATCTAGAAATATTACTTATAGTACTTATAGTAATTATGTTACTTTTACTAATTTAGCCACATATGTATTAAATGACATATTGATCTTTTATTATATTTAGTTAATATATTAAATATAAGGAATATTTGGCATTTATAACATAAATTAATTATGAATGTAAATAAGATATTTATTATAAATGAAGAGCATTTCTGCCTTAGAAAAAAAGTATATTATCTCTTATACAAATAAATTTTTCAGTACCAATAAATATCTGACCTAAACCTTTAATAATACTACTGTAAAAACTAGACTTATGAAATAGAACTAGAACTTGTAAAACTAGGCAAATGTGTTGGTCTTTGAGAAAGAACTGATCGAACCAACCAGATCATTGGAATTTCTGGGTTCTAGAAGAAAAAAATATATGTTGACAAACATATAAACCAGAGGTGTATGGTTTTGACCTATCTTTCTGGACTATTTGGAATAACAACTTGATGGAACTTGAATTAAATACTAAAGTAATAAGGATATATTGTAAAGTTAGTACTGAGATTGGAATAAATTCTATAAGAGCATAGCAGTTTAATGATACATCCTGACTGCTAGTGTTATTTTTGACCATAGTAATATCAGGTCAGCTGCAAGAATAGGATACAGAAGATTCTGGAAGATTTAGTATAAGATCAAAGATTCCCCATGTGAGTGAACTGCTTTAAAAACTTAATAACTATGAAATATTTTTATCAGCATTGACTGAGGTCATTGGTAGGCAGAAATAAGTAGGTGGATACAGAAACTGAATTGTTAAATAGGGAACCTACAAGCAGATTTCAGGTATAACAGCTAGTATAGAACCTTCAGGTGAACTACTTAAATTAAACAATAACTAAAGTTGTACAAGTGACTAGTTGTACACTCTTCCCATAGTTGCCTCCTGTGGTTGTAATGCAACCATTAGCCAAATATACTATTAATAAAATTCTGGGTTACAAGTACTTATCTTAATATTTAAAAAAAAAAATAATAATAATAAACTGTATAAGTACAAAGCAGTATATAACATTCAATTGATAGTTCTTTATAATAAATCATATACAGTGACTTTCAAACACTGTTTAAACGTGTTTTATCATGAGATTGGATGTTATATAATTGGTTTTTTTGTGTCAATACGCATTACATTGTTAATTATAGAACGCATTGGCAAATCTATATAATGAAATTTTCTTACAATGCTCTAATTAGCCATAATGATTCTATTGCTTAACTAAAAACCTTTATTTTTATATCCGAATGGAAAAACCAACCACGTTGATTTTAATCAATAACAGGTGGTCTGTACGCGTGTGATAACCAATAAAATTACATGGTTAAGTATAACATACGCACATCATAACAATATCAAGCAGCATGTCTGAAATCTGTGACAGGTAGAGATTGGCACGCGTGTGATCCCGTGCGTGACGTAAGGATTTTTTTAGAGCCCACGCGGAATTTTTAATATGATCCCCAAATAAAATCATCTGGCCGGCATTATCATATCATCCGGCTAGCATTAATATAATATCTGGCCTGCATTAACATATTTAACTAATTGCTAATTAGAATTTATTTATTTGCATACCGTTTAACATATGGAGTCTTTGCCTTGAAAATCAAGTTTGGATCATATGATTTACTATATTCCGTAAGGTCATTTTCAAGGCAAAACCCCCATATGTATATATATTCTTGATAAAATTTACCTTATTTGCCTTTAGTATCTTTTGCTTGCGTACCAAAATTTCTTTGTTATAATAAATAAATATAAATATTATTAAGTTATTCTTTTTAAAAATAAATATAACACGCATGGTAATCATGCTATTTAACAAAAATTGACTAGATAAAAACTTTAAAACCTTGTCGCACAAAAAATATATGGAAATTCAATATTTTGATCAACGATAAAAAAATTTCGGCAAAATTACTCGCTGTTCATTAAGTGAAAATTAGAGTTGAAAAATTGCCGTAATTTGTAAGAAATGTGATCATTATATCATATGATTCACTGTGATTGCTTTAATCATATTCGCATCGATTTGATTAGTAAACTTTATGTAAAATCTATTTAAGTTCAATATTGCTAGCTAAATTTTTCATAGTGCTGGTACTATACGTATATCACGTGAAATCCATGTTACTAAAACTTATGTGAAATTACATGTATTGTAAATTTGTAAAATGTAATTTTCAACCCTAATGAAATATGTTCCTGGGCTAATTTACCATTAAACAGGCCCAAACCTTAAAAATTTCCATTTTTGCAATTAAAAATTAAAAATTAAATTCCGGCCAAAATTATGTATAATGCGGACCAAAATCACTTAGGATGAATCCCACGCGGGATTTTTGGGGAAACCGCGATTTGCCCATCTCTAGTCACAGAGACGATGATTTTTTGCAATTTGCATAAAACCACAGAAACCGCAAAATATAGCCTGGAATGCATAATTAACTAAATTCACCGCATAATGCCGCATAAAAGGTGCTGATACGTATTAAGATATTGCGTAATTTAATATATGTTATGTCAATCGATTCCTTTTCGAGCGCCAAGAAATATTTTTCGTTGAAAATTCTTTAAGATCACGTGAAAAGTATATTTGCAAGGGTGCGGGTCAAAATCCCGACAGATCATAATCCCGACAAAAAATCCCGACAATTAAAAATCCCGACAGTCAGAATTTTTAGGTAGAAAATCCCAAGTATGAGATATGTTTAAAATGAAAAAACTCATAATTTAATTAATTTTAGGGTAGGACACTTTAGATAATGGTTAAGATATGGTTGCTATGGTCTATGAATATTTTTTATCAGAGTTTTTAACTGTCGGAATTTTTAACCGTCGGAATTTGACTGTTGGGATTTTCAGCTGTCGGTATTTTTTTGTCGGGATTTTGACCCAAACCCATTTGTAATTTAGACCGAAACTCTAGAAATTATATGTTTGTCGGAATTAATTTTTGTAACTCGGACCGGAAATTATGAATTCGGCCAGAATTACTACGCACTAACCCGCATATTTTCCTTTTTTTGTCGCATAAAACCATCGTTCCTGAGACAGGTGTAACTGGGTCATGTGCTCGCGTGACCTAACCAGCCACAAGATTATCATTTCGCGGAATCTACTAGGAACAGTGCAATCACGTAATATAATATAATAAATCCCTATCTAACAGCAAACTAACCGATCACAACTTAAATACATGATTTTGCACTGTTCCTAAACACTGTCCGTAGATTCCTGTCATCATTTCAGCCTTGTATTACTACGCCCACGTATAGTTGGCGGTAGAATTATTGAATTACGGCATTTGCCGTATTGCCATAGTATCGAAGCAATTCTTGTATGTGTGCCAGAATTGTGGCGCAGCAAAAATTCTTTAATTAAACATAGCTGCCGCAACAAAATTGTCCCGTCATATCCTCGATTTTAATTGGCTAACAAGCGTGGCAAAATTTTTGCCCATATTACATAATTTGTTACTAATTTCTGGCCGGAATTAACTTTTTTGGCTTTTTTATCAACGAAATAGTAGGCTGTTGTGATTTTATTAGTAAAATTTTGAGTAATTCCGGCTAAATTTTTGATCGTTGCTTTAGCTAATCAAATCGGGATCAAATTTGTTGTGCTAGGTTTCGATCATTGCGTGTAACAGAACTTTTTTAAAGTTCATTGACAGTTTGATTCTTGAAATATGATTTGTAGATGGGATATCTGCGCCACAATGATTAGCACAGAATATTTCATGCTTCAAGAATTGCTTCGATACTATGCCAATACGGCATTACGGCACTACGAAATTACGGAACATAATACAGCACGTGCAGTTGCCGTGTTGATTTGCCAAATTAATTCTACCACCAACTATACGCCCACTGACTCTTGCTTTAGTTGTTCGTTGACCCTGGTCTATGATTGATGTTATGAGTCTCCTTACACTATTTTGCTCAGGTGCCAAACAAAATTTCACGTTCACGTGATAATCGACAAAATTTTTAAAGTTTGTTTATATTGGAACTCGGGTCTATGCGAGGGTTGAATAATAGGATCCTAGAAGCAAATTGCACAAGGAAGAAAACCTTTTGTATGGATTGTTTTGAATTTTCTGATTGTGTTACGTTACACAAACACGTTGCTAATTATTTGTTATTTTCTGTTGACCGGCACGTGAGCGTGAACGTTTTATTGTGTTTTGTTGGCGCGCCTGAAAGTAGTGTCAGAAGTAAAACCGTTACACCGAAAAACTTGCTAAGTGATCGTCATAGTAGCATACTTACCTAATTTGTAGTGCCCATGACGATCCACTTGAAACATGTGCGCCCGGCCCCAAGAAAGCCATATGATAGCACACAAGCCTCAATGTGGGACCCACCACCCCTCCAATTAAAGAAAGATCGATCTGGACCAACCTGTTCGCATCACTACGACTGGGAATAAATGTTAACTTCACTTTATCCTACTTGGGTTAAGTGTGAGGCAATGTCAAGAGGGATGTGATTGTAATAATTATGTTGGGTTCTGGACCCAGGATGAACAGTACTGAAACATTCTTATCGGTTCTATGAAGAACATGAGGAATGTTAACATAACAAAGGCTGTGTCTATGAAAAGGTCAAAGGTTAGAACAAAAATGGTTGAAATTTGATGGGAACAATGAAAAGAGTCATGGTCTTGTACATGCTCTTCTCATGGACAAATTCGTTATAAAAAGAATGGAATTTTCTTCTCTCGAAAAGTAGTTCAGACAGTCCTATAGTTCATATAGTCCAGTAATCGCCAAGTGTGCTTCTATAGATAAATAAAATTATTAATAAAGATTCTCTAAACTATAGGTGCAAAAACTTGAGAACATATGGTTACATCAAAAAGATGAGTAGTTACATCAAAAGTATTGTAACTGTGTATGTCGTAATAGCTGACATTTGTTGCAAATGAGTTTTTGGTCATAACCTTGATAATGGACATGATGCAAGATAAGATATCCATGATTTAAGAGTGATCTATGTAATTTAGTTTTGATAAATGCAATTAAACTTTCTTGAAAAATAAACAAATTATAAAAAAAAATAATTCAAAATTATTTTTTTTTTTAAAAAAAAAAAAACTCTAATAAATTGAAAGTTGTAAATAAATTGCAAATATGTCTTTAATTGATGAAGTGGATTCTAGTAATTCTATGCTATCAGAACTTTGCACCAATTTTGCTTTACTGTTCGAATCAGAAACTAGTTATAATCGACCTTAAAAAAGAAATAGACAAAGTAAGCCTGTTTTCAATGAAGTGTGAGACTATGTTATTAGGTGTAAAAAAGTAAATCCAGGACACTATAAAGCAGAATGTTACTATTATGGAAAATTCTTGCAAAGGAGTAAACCTTGCATTTTAAAGTTCCATCTTGCACTTCATTGCAAAAAGGTTTCTGAAGATATCTGTCAATATTGGCACAATAAGTTTATAGATGTTGATAATGACTATAAAAGAAATTCTCAATCATAATTAGTTTTACTATCACAAGTTAGTGTTAATTATGATGAGATTCTTTTAAAATCTTAGATAATGACTAGCATTCCATTTGAAGTAATTGAAAATCCTTATATTAAAGATCTTTTTAAAGAACTTAACCCTGCATATGTGTTGCACAATTCTATCTGAATAGTTACTTGATGAGAAAATTGCATAGTTATAGAATAATATTCATAATGATTTAGAGAATACAGAATAATATTCATAATGATTTAGAGAATGCAGAACACTTAACTTTAAGTATGCATAATATTTATTAAAAATTTTTTTTTAAAAAATTTTTTTTATATTTATTTATTTATTTATTTTGAATTAGTTCTTAATAGGTGAACATTAAAACATGAAGAATCATTATACAATTATATTGCAATAATGAAGAACTAAAAAGAATATCTGATTTCTCTATGTAATTACTTATCAGAATCACATACAGACAATTTTATTGCTTCAGAAATTGTGAACATAATCGAACAAATTGGATCTTAAAAGTTTGTTGCTATTATTACAGATTCAGCAGCAAATCTCAAATTGGCTAGAGAAAAAATTCAAGTCAAGTATCCAAACATATTAAATATGAGGTGTATCACCCATGCCATTAATCTAATAGTGACAGATTTGTCAAAAGTTTATCAAATAAAAATGTTTATTAAGCAATATAGAAAAATAGTAAAACATTTTACAAAGTCATCTCAAAAATTAGCATTGTTATGTCAAGAATTGTCAAATATGAAGATACATTCTAAAGGCTTAGGATCATGGTATCAAACATGTTGGGGTCACTCTATAATATTACAAATTCAATATTACTAGCACGATCTGTCTTTGACTAGGTAATTATTATTATTATTATTATTATTATTATTATTATTATTATTATTATGTTCATTATTTTTATTTTTACATTTATTTATTTTTTTTCTTTTTATCATTATTATTTTTTATTTTTTATTTATATTGATATTTGTAATAGATTTTACTTGAACATTCATGTATAATTATAAATACAGAAGTCTTTAACTTATTAGACAGTAAAGATTTTTTTATTATATGTTGACAAATTCAATCGATATGGAAGCCAATAAAAGTTTGTATTTATATTTTAGAAGCAGGTTTGGCAAATTTAGCTGACTACTATATAAATATGATAAAGTTAGCTGTCACAATTTACCAAATTCCTGAATTCAACCTGTTTAAATCTTTTGCCATTCAAGTGTTTAATCAATATTATACAGAATTTCAGCATCTCTTATATTTTTTAAGTTATTATCTCTATTTACTTTATCATGGTATGATTATTGTTACACTGCATAATTAAATTTTTTTAATTTTTTATTAAAATTCCAAGTTAGAATACATCAAAACTGGGTTAGCATTAAGCAATGTTAGCCAACATAGTCTACTATATAACAAAATTATCAGTTAAGCATTTTTAGTAATCTTGAACAAAATTAATCAATTTTAGCACATCTGCTCTAAATTCTAATGTATTCTGATCTGGAATTTTGAGACCTTTCTGTATATTTTTCTATATTATATTATAGTACAATATTAAATTTTTTTATTTAGGTTTGGAACTTCATAATGAGGCATTTCGCAATGCTGCTATAGTAGCATCAACAATATGAAAGAATTTAGATTATTTTGCCGAGGAGTGTAAAGAATTAATCTTACAATTCTGTTACTATGATGCTAATAAAAAGCCTTTTGATTTACCTTATATTCAAGGATTAGATACATCTATGTTGTGGTAGGAGTCTATAAGAAGTTATTTTAATCATCTTTCTGAACTTGTACAAAGATTTTTCAGTATCTTTCCTTCTTAAGCTAATTGTGAGAGAAACTTCTCAATTCTTAAATGGTTCATTGGAGATAAACAAATACACCTTGGAATTGAAAAGCTTGAAAGAATAGCCACAATTAGGTCTTATCACATGACAAATATATAAAATGAACTTACTTACTTTGATGCTAAGTTAACTGAATCCAAATTACGTAAAATAGTAAACATTGCAATAATTGATGATAATATTATGAATGAAGAAGAACTAAGTAGAAATAAATGTGGATATGGTGACCTAGTGAAGTGGATAGGTTGTCAACTCCAAATTAGCAGGTTTAGAGTTCAAATTCCAGTGATGACAAAAATTTGTAATTCTTTCTGTGTTATGGCTAACTGTCTTTCATGATTGGTTGGGATAGGATATCTGTAACCCATATCATACCATCATGACTGAAAGGTCTAGGCACTCATACAATGTTGTACAAGAGAACACAAACCAGTACTGGGTAGTATAAACCCAAGATAAGTCCTTAGGCTGTATAAATCACAGGAACCAGATAGGAAGATAGAAACCCATTTGGAAGACCTAAGTAGAGAGGTAATCCAAATCTTTGATGATGCTACTGTAAAGACTAGACTTATGAAATGGAGCTAAAACTTGTGAAACTGGACAAATGTGCTGGTTTTTGAGAAGGGACCAGATGAACCAACCAGGCTATTAGAATTTCCAGGTTTCTGAAGAAAAAAGCACATGCTAGCAAATATGTGAACCAGAGGTGTATAGTTTTGA